GGAAAAATGCTGAGAAATGGAAAAAATGGAAATAAAGTCTTTGTAAATAGGGAAGGGTGGAGGGGGTGAAGGGGGGGCTAGGAATGGGGAAAAAATAAGAACCAAGAAGCATTATGTAAAGGTACAATTCCCAATGAGAAATGTAAATGTGTTGCATACCTAAAATGTACCAATAAAAGAATTTAACAAAAAAATAAAAATAAATTTAAAAAGGGAGCCAAACACCTTGACTAGAAGAAAAATAACCTCTTTAATAAATGGTACTAGGAAAACTGGCTTTCCATATCCTGAAAGCTAAAACTAGACCCATGCCTCTCACCATGCACTAAATCAAAATCAAAATGGATTAGAGAGGTAAATATTAAAATAGAAGCACTTAATCTACTGGAAGAGAAAATATGTAGAACTCTTGAAGACATAGGTGTAGGCAAAGACTTTATGAAAAAAACCCTAATCTCACAGGAAATACTTCAAAGGATCAACTGGGATCTCATCTTATTAAAAAGCCTTTGTACAGCAGAAGAAAGCACTGAGTGAAGAGACAACCAACAGAGTGGCAAAAAATTTTTGCAAACTGTTTCTCAGACCAAAGACCATATCTAGAATGTATAAAGAACTGAAAAAAATCAAGCCTACCAAATTTAAAGACTCAACCCAAAAAAAGGGCATCTGAGATGAATATACACTTCTCAGGTAAAGAAGTATAAATAGCAAATAAAAATATGAAAAAAATCTTCAAGATGATTGGTCATTCAAGAGATGCAAATTAAAATAACACTGTGATTCAATCTCATTCCAGAAAGAATGACTATTATCAAGAAATCAACCAATAACAAATGCTGGAGGGGTTGTGGGAGAAAAAGGAACACTTCTCCACTGTTGGTGGGAAAGGAAGAAAAGGAAAAGAAAAAAATTAGAATAGAAAGTTAAAATGGAAACAAAGCTCTTGTAAATAAGATAGGGAAGAAGGGTAGAAGGGAGAGGGAGGGATTGAGGAAAAAAGAATCAATATATATCATGTAGGGGGCCAAGGATTTAGCTCAGTGGTTTCACCGCCTGCTGCTCAAGCGCAAGGACCCGAATTTGATCCCTGGTACCAAAAAAAAAAAAAAGAAAGATATATCATGTTCAGGTATAAATTCTATACAATGAATGTGATCATTATGTATATTTAAATTGTACCAATAAACTTAAATAATGATTTAAAAAACCCAAAATTGTTGTCTTAGATTGATTTCTGAAAACAATTTTATTGTGTTAGTAGACACACTTTGTTGTATTAGACAATAGTACCCAAACAAAATATATTCAGTGGGAAGTAATCAATCATGCTATATATGGAAAAGTGGAAAGAAAATTACACCATGTGATCAAAATGCTTAAAAAAACTTATATGTAATTATCATCAGGCATACTGTGAACTAAATGAATGAAAAATTTTAAGATTTTGTGCTGAGAATTTTAAGAGGCCCTAAACACTGTGTTATTTATTCTAAGGATAAAAATATTTCATAAGAAAATTATGGAAAGGATTTATTTACAGATAGGGTTAGACCAATAACAATGTACATAAACATTATTGCAATTTTGTGATTATACAATTTAATGAAACAGGAATTGTGTTTTGGGATTAATGGGTATAAAAATCACCTGTTACCCTCTTATTTAGTTTTGAAATCCCAAACTACCAAACGCTAAAAATACAAAAGTTTAACTTTTCTTTATAATAATGCATCTACTCTTAATTATTTCAGCTAATGGCTTTGAAAATTGTCATTGACTGGTTTTTTTTATTATTATTGAGACATTTATTTAAAGTAGGATGTCTGAAGACTAAATAATTCTTAAAATTATATTTCAGGCTTAATCAAGTTCATAAAAATATTTTGAAGACAGCTGTATCCACAGATTTCAACTGTGATTACTTCTTTCCCCATTCTTCTCTTTCTTTTCTTTCCCGAATAACCTCTTTGAGATATGGTTCAAGGTAGAATTTATCCTCCTCATATTTTGTCCACTGTTCTTTCGGCAAGATCTGATGCTTCAGGCTCAGGTCCAATGCTCTCTTAATGCGAAACATTCTATCATTATAAAGGTTCTCAGGAAGCCTTCTTATGGCTTCCTTTACGTCTTCGTCTTCGAACATTGTATCATCACGCATTAAGCCCAGCTTATTGAATCCTGCAGCATTGTAATACCATTTCCGAATACCATCCAGCCACTGGCCTGATGCTGCAACCACAGGCCTGCCCGCCATTTTGACCATCATTGACTGTTTTTAATTTTAGAAAGGCATCATTTTAATTTTTCTATTAGTCGCAAGCATAGTGTTGCTAAAAACAACTGATTTTTAGTTACAAAAAACCCCCAAATAAACAGATAAGTAAACAAAAACAGCTTATTTCAAAGACAATGATATGATTTTCCTAAATGTCAAAATACAAATATTGGGAAAGAGAAAAAGTGGTTAATATATTAGAAAATACTTTAAAAATGCTAAGCCAATCAGCGGGGCAGTTCTTGCTCAAGTTGACACAACATTTAACTATCACAGTGCAGAATATTAGAATCTCTTATTTTCTCCAAAACTTTGAACCTGAGAGAAATTACATAATACAGATTAATAAAAAAAATTAATCCTAAATTCTTTATCTGTTTTTAATTTGAAATAATCATCACTTTACTAATGGTTTGTGGTTGCCCATGTACCAATAGCAGTTGGTTTATATTGTTTTTCCCTCTGTGGAAAGATATTTCACTGCCATTATCTCTTGAGAAGAACTGTGCAATCTTCCTGTGCCAATCTAGATGTCTAGAGGAAAACATCAGAAGCTAAAACGACCTGCTTCCATCTTGTCTTCCTCCAAACAATATTTTTTCTCAGAGGTTTCCTGTCATGTTTAGACACATTGAATGAAAATAAAAAGTTGTCCTTATTTACACTTTCAGTTTTTCACACCAGAGAAACTATTTGGTATTTACACATGTGTGTCCTATTTATTTCACTTAAGAGTATTGCCTCAATGTGTATCCATTTAGCTGTAAATGTCTCTAGTTTCTCATTCTTTATGGCTGGATAATACTCCACTTTATAAAAGGGGAAGGGGAAGTGGGAGGAGTAGGGGAAGAGAAAGAAGGGAATGGAATTAATGTGAGGAAAAAGAAAAAATGCAAAGTCTTTGTAGATAGGGAGGGGTGGAGGGGTTGAAAGGAGGGCAGGGGAATGGGGAAAAAAATAAGAACCAAGATGGATTATGTAAAGGTGCACATTTCCAATGATGAATGTCATTATATTGTACACCTTAAATGTGCCAATAAAATTAATTTTTTAAAAAAGAAAGGAAACAATTTGATATGGAGTTTTCAGTTATTTTTTCTGTTTTGCATTTCCATAGTAGACAGAGTGGAGGATGACATTGTTTCTTAATCCTAAATGTCCTGTCTTTGTCAGTGACACTCAGCTTAGTTGAGTTGGAGTTGGAGTTGGCTTTCAGACTGTGCCATGACCTTATGTCCTAGAATTCCTCTCCCCAGGCACTCACTGTCTTTGAATTTTATTTCTTTCCCCTAAGCCATGAAGAGAATAAAGTAGGTCATGATCAGAAAAAAAAAGAAAAGAAAAAGTTGTTGATATAACTTTCTTTTTATGAAAAAATCTAGGTAGATTAGAGGCCAGATGTAGACAATGAAAGAAAAATATTTAAATAAAGAAATGTCCCCTTTCCTCATTCCTAATCACTTCAATGATTTAGATAGCTAAAAATTTCTTAAAGATTTTAGTTGAAAATATTCAGTGTGACTGAATGTGTCACTAAATGAAACATTTTCCAATCCTACATTCTAAATTCCAAATATATAAACAAAAACATTTGGAAGATGATTTCACTAAATTTGAGGGTTTTTTATATTACAGGATCTTAACATAGAAGAGAACTAGTCTAATTCGATATATCATGTATTTTAGAAATGAATAATGGACTCACCTAATACAAACGCCTTAGATGTATATCCAGGTACTTGATGAAAGTCACAGTGACATCAAGACAAATTGCATCCAAGTTTCCAACACTGGGAATTAAATACTTCATGACTTAATCTTTTAGAGTATGACAGAAGTTTTATAGACTGTTTCCAAAAAAACAATCAAGACAAATCCTACATATATTTTAATCTGATTTTCATTGACAGGCCTTGCCCAAGTTCTTAGGTCATCCTGTTTACCACTACTACCCCTTGTTCTCTGTGTTATTTCTCCACCTTCTGTTTTCCACTTACAGAACCACTGCTTTTATGGTAATTTTTCTAAAAACTTTTTCATGCCATTACCTTGAAGTAAAGGGGAGGGGATTGGGAATAACAGGTTTGTACAAAATGAGATCAGATATCTTTATTACTGGAATGTGTTCTTCATCTCCAGCCATACATTACCACTCTTTTCAGCTTGAACTCTTGTCACACAAGTTACTTATTCATTGATCTATCTGCCCAAAAGATTTTTCTCTAAATGTTTTTCTAGGGAGTCTTATTTGAAGGCATAGACTAGTTTAAATATCTCTAATTTCCTTCCATCCTCTCCCTCAGGGGAAAAAAGTTCAATTCCTATTTTGTATTCTTACAGTACTTTTTATGTGTCTTTTATAGCTCTAACCCTATTGTATTACAGTATGCTGAGTCTTCAGTTCAAGTGAATAAGATAATTATTACATAGTCTATCACTGTTTCCCTTAAATCCATTGAACTCCATCTCTGCAACAGCATTACACTTTAGGTTCTTTTCATTCCCATGCATATTTAAGTGCCTGTAAATATTACTTAGTTACTGAATGTCAAGGTGAATTCACAATTTATTTTTATGCTAATAAAGCCATAATGTATTGGGAGAATTTCCACATTTTATTTAACTAATTGGCATAAAATGTTACAACTAGAAATTATTAAATTGGGTTTTTTTCCTCATTAAGTTTATTGGTACATTTTAGGTATAAAATAGATTTACACACATCATTGGAATCTTGTACCATTACATGAGTATCTTGGTTCTTACTTTTTTTCCCTTCCCCTGCCCTCCCTTCACCCCCTCCACCCTTCCCTATTTGCAAAGACTTTGTTTCCATTTTT